AAAGGAACCGCCCACGGTGCTGGGCACAGACATCTAAGGGAGCCCTAGGCGGGCAGCTGGGGGGAGGGGCGGAAAGGCAAACCTCAAAGCAGGGAAAGGATGTTTGAGCCGAGGGAGCCTTTTATTACTGCCAGTGATAATGTTATCATGCGTGCCCACTACAGAAGAATAAAACACACACACTGAATACTACGGGGGAAGGAGTGCACACGACTCCTTTACTCAGCAACAGCTCGTGGCGCATCAATACGCTGCCACTTATCCTCGCAAACTTCCTTCCGTGTGCTCAAGGGACCAAGTGGAATCGGGTGGTGATTTTCAGACCACTGCTTCACTGCAGATACCGTGAACAGCTTCCTATGTTGACACATTTATTCTGCAAAATCTATTTTCTCTTCAATTTTTTAGTCGAAAAATATAAACACACGCACACGCACGCACACACGCACACACGCACACACGCACATATCCACACAGATCCAAGTTTCCTTTGGAAATAGCCCCAAGGGTGCAGCCCAGACGTCCTTCCCAGCCCCCAAAGGCAGCTGTGATCGTTGGTTTGGTGGATTCTCCTCAGATCCGTTTCTTTAAGGGTCGACAAAGGTACGACGCTGCCTTGTTGTTGTTAGGGAACCAACGAGCTGTGCTGAAACAGGCGTCTGACTCTGGGCAGACCCCAGGCCCCGGCAGGTCCATCCTGCCAAGGCACCCAGGCCCGTCTCAGGGGCTGGATGCAGTCTGTCGTCCAGACGCACCGCCGCTCACACAGCCCAACCTTCTCTCACAGGAGCTCAGAGTGGTTCTGGGCTTTCTTCCCCCACTGCAATGGGCTCAAGAAGACGCTCTTGCGGCTGATCCGAGCGCCCACCCGTGACTATTTCCTTAACAGGACCTCCTGGAGTGAACTGGAAGGCCATGGGCAGAGCACATGTGGCAGACAACTTTCAGGCGCTGGAGCTGGGTTTGAGGCTGAGAGAAGGTTCCCGGGAGGCAAGAGGGCGCTCCTGGCAGAGGGAACCCTGTGGGCAAAGATGCGTGTCCGAGACATTGAGAGTCCTCTGAAGGCCTTCTGGGAGGAAGACATTGCTGCTTGGTTTAGAATTCCGGGAAAGTGGCTCAGAATGACCTTGCCATTATTCCGTGTGTCTCCCCTTCCTTCTTGGGGAGCCCTCCACTCCCTGACCAGCCTGGGCAGGGAGCTGGGGAGGAGCTCAGGCCCCCCACGCAACACTCACCAGGCCACACCGCCTTCCCACGCACCCACCCACTGGGTCCTCTCTCTAAAGCTGAAATGTCTCTTGGGCTCCTCGACTGCTCTCCAGATCAGTCAAGGGCTCAGGTGCCTTTAGAACATTCTGGTGGGTCTTGGGTCCCTTGTGCTGTCTGGGGCTGGCACCAGGCTCTGCCCCACCATGGGTGGCCAGTGGGCTTCATAGACCTCTAGCCAGCCCAGATTTTCATCATTCTCTGGTCGCGTCTCCTCGATCCCCTGCCCACCCCCACCTCTTTATCCGCCCTGCTCCTTCCCTCTGGGGTCGCGTGTCCCCACACTGAGTGGGAGCCCATCCAGGGCAGTGGGGGCTAGGTCATGGGGAAGGGCTAGGGTTTCATTTGAGGGGATGGAGGGATGTATATTTGGTTTCTCGGGAACGTTCAGAATAGGTCCTATTCTTCTAGATGCTTCCACTTCCTCCCTTGCCCCAGCACCAGGCCCTGCCTGCTCACCTCAGTCCCTCTGCTCCTTCCAGGCCACCCCGCCTCACTCTGTAGGGGGACAGGCGGGGACAGGCTGGGATAGGCCGGTGTCCACTCAGCCAACACAGAAGCCTGGGCTGACCCTGGGAGACACATTTCCATCGTTATCAGTTATTTCCATGGAGGGTTCCACTGGGCACCTCCCACTTTGTCTGTCAGGGGCCCAGGTCCCAGCTGGGGCCCCGGCGGGCTGCCGTGTGGGTGATGTGGCCTGACGCTGCCACCGCTAACTGGACATTTTATCTGAATATTAATTCAGTTGTTGCATTCCGTTCCCTGACGTGGCCGATTTGTTTTAGTATTAAAGCGTGCTGTTAACATCGCTAACTTTGTTACCCACTGCTGAGCAAATCGCTGTGCTGGTGCAGCTGCTGGGGACATCTGGAGGTCTCCCGAGGCCCAGCCGCAGCCCTCAGCCGAGCCAGGGAGCGGTCACCCTGTCATTTCGAAGGCCACAACATGCCCTGGGTTCTATATAAACAGAGTTCCCTAGAGTTGTGCCATCCGTCCCACAGCCCTGGGGGAAAGGCCACTAGCCTGGCTTCTGAGGGACCTTGTTGCTAACGGGCAGTGTGACTTGGGCCATGTCCTCCCCCTCTGGGTGTCTGTCCTCTTACGTGGCAGAGGGAAGCCATGGGCGGTCACCACAGGGCTTGACAGTGTCTTTCCAGTTTACACATGTTCACTCGGTGGGGATTTCAGAGCAGATAGGCAGCAGAAGGGGGACGGCAGGTTGGGACCGTGACGTTCCTGTGCACACCTGCTGAACCGCCCGCTCCCGACAGTACCTGGACGGGGTGCTCATGGCCTGCAAAGTGCTGGCCTATCTACGAGCCTCCTCCAGGGAACGCAGCCCTGCCCCTGACGCCTGTCCTTCCTGTGACAGCTCTGGGAGAGTTTGGGGTTGGGAAGGGGCAAGTGGCTTTACTCTCAGGCTCAGGGCACACGCAGAGGAGCCCACAATCCCCCACGGGAGCCCTGAGCCGGGGCCTTCCATACGGGTTGAATCCTCCCCCTGGGGAGCGGGGTTCACCTGCCCCACCCTGGCCTCCTTTCTCAGCAATGTGCAAATGGGGTTCTGGCCTCCAGGGCTCCGAGACTGCTGTGGCCCCCCAACCCCCACAGCGTGTGGGCCCTCTGTAGGGGCACTGATCGCTGGAGCCTAGGCGGATGAAGAAAGGCGCATTGTCTTGCCCAGTTTCTCTTCCTCGCCCTGCCCTGCTGCAGAAGTGGCCAAAATCCTAATATTGGTGTGGTTTTGTTTAGCAAACAAAGAGCATGCAAAGCAGTTCTCATCCGTGTGTGTGCGCGCATGCCCAGCACCCTCCCTTGCCCCTGACACCCAGGCCTGGCCCCCATGTGTGGCTCCCTGTCTCTGGGCTCCACTGCGTCCATGGACAGGAAGAGAGAAGGGAGCACATGGTCTCCAAGGCTTTGTTGGGAACCCCCACAAACGGGGAGACTTCAGAGGAGGCCAGACCACACTCCTGTGTAAATCCCAGCCCCCTACCCCTGCTTCTGCGCGCCTGATGGGGCACTCTGGCTGGAGTAACAGAAAGAGCCTCTGGAATGAAGCAGAGTATGGGTCCTGCCTGGCCAGACCCCGAGCTGGGGAACGGGAGGTTGCCACGCCCCCCAGAAGGCCTCAGAACCCCACAGATTCACAGCAAAGGAGCGATCTGGGGGGAAGCATCTGTGGGTGCCTTTGGGAGGAAGGTCAACAGAGACTTGAAGACCATCTTGCCTTGGAATCAGATTCTAATCCCAGCTCTGCATTTGCCCGCTGCATGATCTTGGGCAAGTTGGCCAACCTTTCTGAGCCTCCACTAACCCCCTCTGAAAAATGGGATAATGATACCTTCTTTGCAGAGGGTTGTGCGGGTTCGAGTCGATGTGTGGGAACCCTCCGCCCTGGTCAGTACCTGGAAGAGACTCATTTAGGAGTGCCGGGTGTGGGCTTCATGCTGAGGGCACCAGAGACTGCCTTCTAGCAGAGGACAAAGTGACACATGTAACTCCCATAGCAGGTTCAGTGGGTCCTGAGTTGTAAGCAGGTAGCCTGAGGAACTCCGCTCTCAGAGCTGGGAGAGCCTCCAGGTGGAATGGCCAAGGGAGGCTTCCTGGAGGAGGCAGCATTTCAGTAAGCCTCAGAGGATGGGCAGGACTTAAATGGCGGCTACTCGTGGCCAGCCAGCTCTTAGCACGTGCTCAGCCCTGCTCACTACTGTGCACGCATGGTCTCTGGTAACCCTCCCAACAGACGAGGAAGCTCTATCACGTCGTACAGCTAGCAGAGGGTGGCACTAAGCTTAAGCTAGTCCTATTTCAAAGTCTCTGTGGGCATATAAGTCTCTAGGGATTAGGACGAGGATGGCATACTTGGGGGCCATCATTCAGCACAGGACGGTGATTACATCGAGAACTTTGAGATGGGAAGATGACCCTGGATCGTCCCACCGAACCCCATGGGGTCATAGGGGTCCTTCCAAGAGGAAGACAAGAAGGTCAGGCAGAAGAGTGAGGCGGGTGGTGGAAGCAGAGGTCGGAGCTACCCGTTTTCGAGAAGGATGAGGCGGCCACAGCCTCTCCCTGTAGGAATGCAGCCCTGCCCCCACCCTGGGTTTTGCTCCCAGGACTCATTTTGGGTTTCTGACCTCCAGAACTGGATGGGGATAAACTGTATGGGTTTAAGCCACTACCCCTGTGGCAATTTGTTACAGCCGCTGGCGGAGACTGATACAGCCTCCGACGGCAGGAGCCTTGCCCTAGGGGGCTCCTTCGCTTTTGTTTCTGCACTTACCAGTTTGGTCTGAGTCCACATCTCCCAACCCCTCTGCCAGCAACTCCAGAGCTTTCTCTGACTTTTTTTTTTTAAGTTTTAAATTTTTTTAGTAATTTCCACACCCAACGTGGGGCTCGAACTTAAAACCCTGAGATCAAGAGTCACGTGCTCAACCGACTGAGCCAGCCAGGTGCCCCAGCTTTCTCTGCCCTTCCAAGCCCCCTACCATCCCTCCCCAAAGCCTAACTTGCACCCAGGACACACTAAACACTGGTCAAGGGTAAATAAATCTGTGTCTTTATTTTTATTTACAGCAGTTGAGAGGGACGGGCTCCTGAGAGCATGACTGCTTGTCTCTCCAGCCCCTTGGCCTGAAAACAGAGCTGGAACCCTAGGGGCCAGCTGCGTGCCAGTCAGAAGTGGGGGGCAGCTGGCATATCCAGCTGAAGCAGAGGGGAATGAGGCCTCCCACTGGGGCAGGAAACCACTCTGGTTGTCCATGGCAGCCTGAAAGAGACCCACTAAAAACCAGATTCCAGCACAGTGGGCAGCAGGCAGAGGGGGAGAATTTCTGTTTGGATTCCTATTCTGGACTATTCTCAACATCCTTGTTCGCAGGGGGCTATGCTGGCTTTCTGGGCCCTGCCCGAGGGAAGTAGCCCAAGCTCTTAGACTTCTAAACAACCTCAACTCAAAAAAGACCCAGCCCAGTTCCCATATTTTGCAGCAGGAAAATATTGGTCCAGAGAGGGAAAGCAGCTTGCTGGAGGTCACACAGCAATTCTGTGAGTCTCAAACCAAGCTGAACGATTCCTGCCCAGCACTGACTCCGGGAGACCCGGGATCTAGGCACAGGAGCCTGGCCTCCCTCTGGGTCAGGGGACCCCAGGGCAGGCTGGCCAGGAGATGGGGGATCTCGGCACAGGAGGGTGGCTTCCCCTTGGGTGACGGGACCTCAGGGCAGCCTGGCCAGAGCCTGGGGCAGGTGCAGCCTCACTTGAGATTGTGCTGGCTTTCCCGGTGCCGCCGTAGGTCCACCTTGCGCTGGAAACCCTTGGTGCACAGCTCGCAGCTGAAGGGCTTGAAGCCGGTGTGCTTCCGGCTGTGGGTGATGAGGTTGGAGCTCTGGCTGAAGGCCTTCCCACACACCTGGCACTTGTGGGGCTTCTCACCTGCGGGGCAGCAGGGGCCGCGTCAGGGCTGTCGGTGCCAGGCCCGCTGTCCTGCCTTTGTTTGCCGGACTAGGCTGTGTTACCTCGAGGCCCGACATGCGCTTTAGAAAAGAACTACAAAAGGGAGCCAGGAGCACAAGGCCCCCGGTTGCACCCTGGGCGAACAGGGACCACGTCCAGGCGCTCAGGTGAGAGCCGAGCAGTGAATGAGGGGAGGAGTGAGCGGACTGCGAATCCACCTGCTGGTCTCACATTCCCCGCCCCCCCCCCCAGCGGTCACACTGGGGCTCCTTCCTTCCCGGGGTTTTTCCCATGCAAAGTGTAGTTAAGGAGCAGCGCACCCAGCCCCCTGCGTGGAGGAGAGCGCCCCTCGCTTTGTAACTTGAGTGCACCCCCGCCCGCAGCAGGGCCTTTTACGCGTGGGATGGAGGGGTGCGGGGAGAGGCGGCTTGGGCCATGCGGCGCGGCCGGGGAGCCCTGGGGCCGGCGAGGGGCGCGCCTCACCCGTATGGATATAGGTGTGTTTCTTCATGTCCGACTTCTGGTGGAAGCGCTTGCCGCAGAACTGGCAGGGGTAGGGCCTCGTGTCCGAATGGATGAGCAGGTGCGTGGACAGGGTGGACGAGCGTTTGAAGGCTTTGCCGCACATCCGGCACTCGAAGCTGCGCTCCTGCCGGAGGAAACGAGGCCCTGGGGGGTCAGGCGCGGGCGGGGCCTCGAGACCCGGGACTGCCACGCCGGGCGCAGGTCCGGGCCCTGCCGGGATCCCCTGAGGAACAGGACACTCGTTGGGGGGGCCTCGAGAACGGGTCCTGGCGGAGCAGGACCCAGAGACCCCCATTTCTGCATCCCAAGAGGGGGCCCCGAGGCCTGGGGCCTGAGAGGCCTCCTCTGGGCTTTCCCCTGCAACCTTCACAGTATCCCATGCAAAATGAGCCTCACCATGGGTTTGTTGACTGACTGATAGATCGACTGACTTGGGACATGGTCATGGGCTTTGCGGGCTTTGGTTAAGAGTCTGTATTATTGGGGCCAGTTTCTGGCTTCTGCCACTTCAAGGCTGCATGACCTTAGACAAGTCTTTTAACCCCTCGAGACTCAGTTTCCCCATCTGTACATGACAACAGCAGTAATGAGCTCAAAGGGTAGAGAGCTGAGCCGACAACTAGCATGGGGTGTGCGCTCACAGCTGAGAGCTCTCGTGGCCCTACCCTGCCTCTCCCGGTGTTAGCAGCTCGGGTCATTTCGGGCACTTTCCTGGAATGGAATATTCGAGAAGCTAAGTGGGACAAGAGGGTCATTTAAGCCTGATGCCAAGATTCTAAAAGTCGAAGCGAAGGACCCTGGCTCTGTGCACACAGCCCACGCCGATCATTTCTGAGCATCCCCCTGGGCCAGGAGCTCTCCCCGAAGCACATTTGGTCCACCGGGGAGGGAAGTCAGTTAAGAATGGGTGTTGGGAAAACGATAACATAACTAGCACTAAAGCACCATTATTCATTATCAAGAACAAGGTAAAGTATGTATGATATAACAATTTTTAAAAGAGGGTTTTGGGGACCCAGAGGAGGGAGTAAAGGACCCCTGATCTGAGTCACTCTCAGGGGCAGGGTGAGGGGTCCGGCCACAGCCCCAAGACTTCCTGCGGAAGCTTCCCGAGGCTTCCAGAACAGGAGTGGGAGGTGGGCGGGGGTGTCCTGGGCTTGGCCTGCTGCCCACCTGGGAGTGGACGTGCGTGTGCTGTTCCAGGCTCACGGCGTGGCCAAAGGTTTTGCCACAGACGTCACAGGCGAAGGGCCGGGTCCCGCTGTGGGAGCGGCGGACGTGCACTTCAAGCCCGTGTGGAGTGGAGAACACCTGGGGGCGGGGGACAGAGCATGAGGACACTGGGGGCTGAGGAGAGGGAAATGGGCCTGGGGTCCCAAGGCCACCCCCATCCCCTCTACACCCAGGCACAGATGGGCATGAAGCAGGAGAAGCACCGGAGTGTCGATTCCGCTGGAATTGCTGTGTGTCCTGGGAAGGTCCCTTTCCCTCTCTGTGGTTTGGATTCCTGTCTAGAAAATGGGGGCTGTGGGAGCATGTAAAAGGCCCCTCCTGGCCCTAGCTAGGGGCTGAATGGCTGGGAGTCTGCCACAGCCACATGTGAAGGCTGGCACTGACGTCAGCTTGCTGTGTGCTCTGGGGCCAGTGATGCAGCCTCTCGGAGCCTTTTGTCCGCATCCCCGGGCTCAGTGAACCACGGTGAGGACGAGCATTCTGAACCCTCGGTCCCACCGAAGGACCCAAGATTCACAGCACAGGGAGCACCCCGCTGCCAGGGACCCGGGGAGGGGACACGGAGCAGGGCCCACGAGCCTGCCCACACCCCAGCTGCCCACCTTGTTGCACTTGATACAGTGGTACGTATCCATGCCCGGGGAGCAGCGGAGGCTGAAGTCCAGGGGTGGCTCGGTGCTGGGCACCAGAGGGCTGCCGTACAGGCTGACGGAGCGCTCGAGGAAGGCAGACTGCATGGTGGAGGTGGCCTGCCGGTAGCTGTGGCCGTAGGACGAGGCCAGGGCATCCCAGGAGAAGCTGGGCTTGTAGAACGGGGGTGAGTCGGAGTCCCTGTCCTGGGATCGGGGCATTACAGCAGGGGCCTCTGCGGAGAGTGGGACACACATATGGTGTTGATTCATTGAAACTTAGGGCACTGCTCCCCACCTCTCTCCACCTACTGACCTCATGCTGAGGGTTGTGGTGTGTATCCCCAAACATTAACTGTGGGAGAGGGTCTGGGTCCAAGCAGAAGCTGGAGAGCCCAGATTGTATCCAGATGGCCTTGTTGGTCTATCCTGACTCTGTAACTCCTAGGATCCCTGTTTCCATGAGCCCATCCCCCCTCCATTCCACTTGCACTGGCTGGTGGGGAGTGGCCGGGGGTCCCTGCCGGGGTACCTGGCACCAAGGGCGTCCTGCTCATGCTCTGGTCCAGCTCCAGCTCTGGCTCGCGCTTGAGGTCAGTCCAGGTCAAGCAGTGGTTTGGGAACAGGCTGCTGAAGACAGGATCATTGCTCAGGACTTGGTCCCTGGCTGCTGTGGGGAGACAAGACCATCAGTGATACCAGGGGACCCAGAGACGCACTTGCTGTTGTCCCCAGATGCTCGTGTGCACGGGCCCTGCCCAGGATGGTGAGAGTAGGGTGGACGCCGAAAGGAACACCTCGCCGGGGAGAACTCCTGGCCCAGTGTTAGCTTTCTGAGCACCCAACAGCCCTAAATGTTTTCTGAGTCTGGTTAGGACCCACATGTCCTAACCAGCTCCAATCCTGATGCTCCCACCATCTCATGGGGTCAGAAGAGAGGGATTCATTCATTCATTCATTCATTCATTCATTCAACACATTTACTGAGCTTCTGCATTTGCAGAAGGGATGCCACCACCTCCCCAACACAGGGGGCAGGGAGCCCTGGGTGGGTTCCACAGGGGGAGATCTGACTCACCGGGGCTAAGGGCAGGAGGCCAGACCGGGTCATCTTCCTGGATGCGGGGCTGGTGGTAGGTGTGAGCTTTCTTGCTCTTTACCAGGAAGGAGCGTGGCATGGTAGGTGTGCGCCCACACCTGCAAGGGGAGGGGGGAGAACAGTTAGGAAGGGCGAGAGGGCAACAGCCTCTGTATTTTAGAGCCTTTTCCTGACATCGGATTCCACTGTCCTGAGTTGAATGGTGCCCCCAGAAGTTCATGTCTTCCCAGAACCTGTGAATGTGATCTTCTGCAGAAACACGGTCTTTGCAGATTTTACCTAAGATGAGGTTATCCTGAGTTAGGGCGGACCCTAAGCCCAGTATGTCCGGGGTTCTTATAAGAAGCGGGAACCTTGGGCCCAAAGACACAGACGCACAGGGAGAACACCATCTGGAGGCAGGAGCAGAGCTGGGAGGGTCGTGCTTACAAGCCAAGGAGCCCAGAGGATCGCTGGTTCCACCAGAAACCACGAGAGAGGCTTGTGACAAACTCCCCCAGAGCCTCCAGAAGGAACTGACCTTGCAGACACCTTGATCTGGGATCTCTAAGACTCCAGAACCTTGGACGAAACAAATTTTGTGTTGTTTGAAGCCTCCTGGTTTCTGGTAGTTTGCTGCAGTGGCTACGAACCCTAACCTCCCCCTATGCCTCCCTCGCTAGGAAATTAATGCGCCCACCTTCTAGAACACCCCCACGGCCAGTCTTCTACCCACATGCCCTGAATCGCACCGAGAGCAGAGAAGGAAGGACAGGGGTGTCTTCAAATATGACACACGGTGGCCCCCCCATACAGAAATCTGCATTCGCGCCCCTGTGGGAGCGGCACTCGGAGGCCATGGAAGGAGCGGCCTGAGCTAGGGTCTGGAGCCGGATGCTTAGACTCCCAGCTCACCCGCTGTGCACTTTGGGGCAGACACTTGACCTCTCTGGGCCGACTCCGTTTTCTGTAAGGTGCAGAGTCCAGGCTTCTCTCTCTCTGAGTGGGGGTCGAGGAAGGGGCTGGAGTTGCATGTGGGGCTCAAGGCCCGAGAGGACTCCCCCATGTCACCCCGCTGGGAAGCCGGAGGGCATTTTGTGCCTGCAGCGAAAGAGGCCAGTGTCTGCCACCTGTGAGAACGAAGCAGTGGGCAGCCCAGCTTAGCCGCGTGGTCACCGGACCCACTGCTCAGGGGGTGGGGGAAGACATGGAAATCAGGAAAGGGACCTGCTCTTGGTCTTGGGTGGGGGTTGGGCTGTGGCAGAGCCAGACCAGCCTGAACACCTTGACACTTGCCCCCCACCCCCTCTGCCAGATGTTACACGTCCTTAAGGCTCTGCTGAAGGCTCCTGGGAGACAGAGAACATCTGAGTGGTCCTCTCTCCTCCCAACCCCCAGGCCAGGCCCAGGCAGGAGTTCAGGAAATACTTTGCCAATGCCATTCCTGGTGGCTCCTCTGCTGGTCCCATCCCCAAACCTCAGAGCTAGAGCCCCCTTCCCCAGGTCAGCCACCCTGCAGGGTTGCAGGGACCATAGGGCCAAGCGCGGGAAAAGGATTACAGCTGCTCCAACAACAGCCAGGGCTGGGTGATAAGGCCAAAGCGAGGAGCTGCTGGGAGGAGGGAGATTAGAGAGGGCAGCTTGGAGCCCTGCCTTTGGAGCAGGCCCAGGGAGTCACCCCTTCCCCCAGTGTGACCCCAAGCCAGGCAGGAGAGGGACCCCTAGCTGTGCCCAAATCACAAGCCATCTTCCTGGCAGTGTTGGGGCAGGAAGGACCTCTGTTACAAAGAGGCGTGCAAAGTGCTCAGCCTGGTGCAGGGGCCGCAGGACCCCTGAGCAGGTGATGGCATCACAGCCTGCAGGAGAAGAAGCTTCAGGAAGGCAGGCACAGCCCACGTCCTGCCCTGTCCTGTCCTGTCTGGTTGCAACCCCAGTACCCCACCCAAAGCAGTTGTGCTCTGAGGACAGGGATGAGCCCGGGACCAGGAGCAGGGACATGCTCCGGGCTCTTCACCTCTGGGATATGAAAAGAAGAGGTGGGACTTGCAGGGTCTGGGGTCCAGTCCAGCTGTCAGATTGTGCCCTTCCTGGGCTTGCCTGGCCTCCTGTCTCTCCCAGGCTTGTCGGGAAGCCCGCGGTGGCCTTATCTGCCAGGGGCAGTCTTCCTCTGCCTCCTCCCCCTCCCCCAGGGCTCCTCTCACCCCCCTTTCTTCCCCCTTCTAACTCTTGGCTCCAGGAATCCCTTAAGGAGGCCGGACCCTGGGCAAAGCTAGAGGAGACCCACACACTCCAGGGGAGGTGGGGTTTGTGTGGTCTTGCCCTTTTTTCTAGAGGAGCCTCCGAGGGCCACGGTCTCACTATCAAAAGATGATCTATTATTTTGTGCAGAGTATTTTAGTAGCAAGCCAAGGAGAACCGAAGCTAGGCATGGGACTGCTAGAATGGCCGGAGATATTTCTTGTAGCCAGGATCTGTGTAGCCTTAACTCCATGAGTTTGGACCTGGGAGCTGAGTGGCTACAGCCCCAATTCACAAAGGAGGAACGAGGCTTGGAGACTGGCTCCTGATCCCAGGCAGATCCCAGGCTGCCCCCTGGCCCCGCCTCCCGGCCTCTACACTGTCGACTGAAAAGACACGGAGTCGGCACTTACTTGGCACGGAGGGAAGTCCGCCTACATGCTAAGAAAGGTGTCTAGAGCTCATGATGAGCGTTATGCCATCAAACTGACACCCACTGGGGCAAGGAAAGCAATGATTGTCTTCTGGGCTCACAGGGGAAACTGAGGCTGAGGGAGAAAAGTGGCTCGTCCAGGCCCTGTGTTCCTGTCCTGCTGGGACTTGACTCCTGGCCCAGGGCTCTTACCATTAGACCTGGGGTCTTTCCAACCACCCATGAAGACGGACTGCCTAGAGCAGGGAGAGAAGGCTGGTTGGTGGGGCAAGATGATGGAAAAATCATATTCCTTTGATCGCTGTCTTTTCTAGAACCCACAAGAAGCACATGGGCTCCTAGAGAGTTTTGAATGGAGAAGCAAGAGAGAAAGACCTCCTTCAAGAAGCTCTAATTTTCCCTTGGGCTCAGAGCCTGAGGACACCATAGAGGTCAACTGCTTAGAAGTCAGGACAACACAAGTTCATGGATGCTCAGGGTCCACTCTCCGGTTCCCTTCAGAGCCCCCAGTCTCCCTCCCAACACTCCCTAGAACGTTCTCTCCACCAAGCCTGGCAGAGTGGCAGAGCCAACCCCAGGGCTTCAAGTCCTTAAGCTCCCCGTGGGGGCCAAACACACCAGGAGAACTTCCTTTTGGCCCCTGCTAGCGGAGTTAAAAAAAAAAAAAAAAAGGAACCAATCACCTATACTGTAGTTAATTAACAACCACACCGTTTTGATTCACACGGACCGTTCTGAGAAAGAGCTCAGAGCACAGATTGTGAAAGAACCCAAAGATTTCTTCATGAAACAGGGGCTGTGATGGTATCAGCCTCCGGAAGGAGACTCGCTGTTAACATCTCTTCCAATCCATCCCGATAGAGGGTGCCCTGACCTCGAGCCAGAATCTCGGCCCCGCACCCCTACGTCCAGGTGGACTCGGAGCCACAGCCTGGTGACTCTGGCACAACGAGGTGCCATGGTCCTCCCGTGGGGCTGAATTTGATCTTGTGACCTTGAACTTGGCCACGCCTGCCTCCCACCTGGGGCTTGGTTTTCCTGTCTCTCAAAAGGGACCGTTGGACTAAGAGTTTTCTAAACTTCCCTTTTGCTCTAAAATCCCACGCGCATTTTGTTGACCTTCGGCACAGGACTGACCTACCTTGACTGAGAACCTCATCACTCGGGTTCCCTTTTTGGGAGGGTTGGGTAAGACTGTTGTTTCTCAGAGTCGGTGACAGAGGATCCTATGGACTTCCTTTATATTTAAAGACGTGACTCAAACAAACAAACAAACAAAAAAAACCCCTTTCCACGTAGTAGTTAGGGGAAATGGGTCTGTTTCATGTTAGGGGCCCCAGCAGAAAGGGGTCATTATTTTTATTTGAGATTTGCCAGTCGTTCTCAAATGTCTCCTGCTAAGTTCAGAGACTGCAATGTCACAAGAGAGTGAATCAACTTCTGAGTTTAGACCCAAAAGAATTGCAAGCAGAGACTCGGGCATATTTGGAACCCCCAATGCACAGCCGCGCGAGTCCCAGTCACCAAAAGATGGGCGAACCCCCAGTGTCAGTCAGCAGATGATGGAGAAACGAAATGCGGCATAACCATACAATGGAACGTTATTCAGCCTGAAAAAGGAAGGAAGACCACCACAGGCTAGAAATCTTGAGGACACCATGTAAGCGAAATACGCCAGTCACAAAGAGATGGTTGCTGTAAGACCTGTCACTTATACAAGGTCCCTAGAGAAGTTGGATTCCTAGAGACAGAAAGGACAGTGGTGAGAGCCAAGGGCCGGGGTGGGGGGGGACGGGCAAGGGAGGGGAGTTCGTGTTTAATGTGGACAGAGTTTCAGTTTGAGAAGGTGAAGAGAGTTCTGGAGTTGGAGAGTGGTGACGGTTGCCCAACATTGTGAATGCATTTAATGCTACAAAACTGTACACTTCAAACTGTTTAAAAAGATCGTGGTCCCGTCATGTATATTTTACTACAAAAAGAACAGAAATGAGTGAACAAAACATTTCCTGGACATTTCTGAACTGGAGCAGCTCCCACTGGTTTGAATTCCTGAAAACAAATGAACAAAAAACCCCTCCCTCTAATTTAAGGAGGGGTAAGGTTTTCTGTTGTTTCTGAAAAGGGACGAGATCATAGGTGATCAGGCTATTTTCCTGGGATCGGGTCCCAGAAGCTTCAGGAGTCCTCGTGGTCTCCAAGAGCATCCCAACCCCATCCACCCTCCCAAAAGCCTCGAGGAAATGTTCTGCATTGGTTTTGAGTAACTCCATCCATCAAACCCAAGGCAGATATGGCTTTCTGATGCTTCCCAAGCACCTTCTGCAGGGCAACCAGCACACCGACCCTCTGAGTCTTGAGTTGGAAGACACCTCACACATCTCCTTCTTTAAAGGGTCCCTTGTGCACCAGCTCCAAGGACAAGAAACTTGCCACCTCGCTAAGACTGAAATCTTCTACCCACTCATTGCCTGCTGAGAACTAGTCAGGAGGTGTGAGCCTCCGTGGGCAGGTACAACTTAGCTAGCTCCTATCAGATTCATGTCCGGAGCCTGCAAATTAATTTACCCCCTCCAGGAAACTCATGAAAGCTGCGGACCTTCCCCGCAGAAAAATGTACACAAGCACATACCCACAGCATTTCTCAGACCACCCCCTCCCTTAACACGTCTTAGTTTAGGGTGGGCACCTCGCCCCGATGACCAGACTCTAAACTCAGCCTTTTTTATCCCAAAATTAGGTAGAAAAGACTGAGACGCCCCCTGCCCTTCTGCAGCCCTCTGGTTTCTGGGGGCTGGGGGCTAGGGGCTGGGGTTGGTGGACAAGGTGTTTTCCCTTCTCCCCTCACGGGGCCCTGGATGAGAGGACACTCCCTCTCAAAGTGCCCCAGGAACTTGGGTGAAGGGTACTGGGGAGTATGGGTTGCTGGCGGTAGACCTTCCCTCGGAGTTCTCTCAATTTCACTCTGATCTTATAGACAAGGGAAGCTCAGGGTCATGGAGGGACAGGGCCACACTAAGCCAGATGCCTGAATGAGCGCCACCCCACGCTCTGCCCAGGTCCCTGGGAGAGCTAGGGTTGAGGGTATGACCTCGCACGCACAGGTGATCCCGGTCAGACCTGACCAGTTTTGGAAAAGCCCCTACAGGGCTCTGCCTCCCACTACCTCCTCTCTGCTGGGTTCAAGGGCATCTTGTGGGAGAGATATCCCAGTCCCTTATTCTTCCTGTAACTGCCAAAGGGCCCAGGTGACCTGCCTGGAAACAATCTAAGTCAGACATGCAAATTTCAAAAGAAGAGGCTGGGATGACAGCACTCACCTGTCCCCAGCTCTGTCCTCTGGTCCTGGATGTAGTCTTGGTCTTGGTGGGAACCTCCCAGCCTCCAGGGATCGGCTCCACTCTGTCAACCTCGGACTCTCTGCTCAAATAGATACTTCTCCTTTTTTTTTTTTTTTTAACTCTCTCTCTCACTCTCTCTGTTTTTTTTTTTTTTTTTTTTTTTTTCCCTCTTCTGTTCCCCTCCTTGATTTTCAATCTGATTATTTGTGTCAAAATCTGGCGGTGACGGAACAGCCAATAGAGAGCGCCCGAGCGCGGGGCTGCATTTGCTTATCAAAACTTCCCGGGGCTCCGACTTCGGGCTCCTGCCGGCCCTTCACCCTGCGAGTCTCGCTCTGCGCCCAGACATTCTAACGAACGCCTCCTGGAAGAGAAAGAAATGGCTAACTCATTTGGTTTTTAAACTTAAAGTTTAAAAAAAAAAGCATTTATATACCTGATTTTGCATAAAGTCGTAACTTTGTTTGTCTTTCCTTCCTTCCTCTGTCTCCATCTGTCCCCCTCCATCCTGAGCCAGGAGCAGCCTGCTCCAAAGCCGCGGCAGACCGCCCTTAGAGGTCCCTCTTGTCCTTGCAGAAGTGGGCTTTGGGAAGAAAAGCCGAGTTCACGCTTCCCCAGCCTCGATCCCGGAAGAGGTGAAGGAGTAACCGAGGTGCTTCCCGGCGGCGTCGGCGGGAGGCTCAGCGCGCTCCGGCGCCCGCGGCAGGTGCACTGGCCGTCCCTGGCCCTACGTGTGCCGCCATCTAGCGGCCGCGGAGGAGACGGCGGCGGCCCGCGGGGGTCACCGGGGAAGCGGGCCCAGCCCCGCTCTGCTCTCACATCCCATTTGGTACCGAGCCCCACCCCGCGACCCCCCACCTTCTCCCTCCTTTGCCCCTCGAGCCTGATTTATTTCAGGAGGATTTGCATAAGGGAGAGCGCACAGAGCGGAGCACTGTTAGGCTGATTTGCATGCTCTCCCAGCCCAGGGCTGGGGAGATTAGGTTTCCCGAGACAAGAAAACAAGTTTGGCGACAGGAAGGCCCTTCTTAAACTGCAGGTCCTGCCTGGCATGAGGAGAAAGGGGGTTTCAGGTGAGGCTCCTCTGCGGCGGGGTCCAGGCTGTAGGTCAGCCGGGCCTGAGAGATGCCACGGGGTTCAGGGGCGTGGGGGGCGTGGGGGGCGTGGGTTCCAACCATCCCGATGAGGCCTCAGAGAGAGAGCGTGGGGGGGCATCTGGAATATTCTCTGGATGTTCCACATTGCCAACAGTCAACGGGACCTGTTTGTCATTACGCAGAAAACTTAAAAAACAATCCAAGGACTGTAAGAAAAAATTCCCATTTCTTCCCATTCTCCCTCCATTATGCAAGCACATCCCTGCGTTTCGCTTGTCAGGCCTTTCTTTTTCAACCGGCTGTTATTTTGTTTAAGTACCTCCCCAATTCTCCTGCGGCTTTTATGAACAGATTTAATGCTTTTCACGGTTTACCTTGCCAACCACTTCTTCATTTGGGTCATAACACGGTTCGGGGTAGCGCAGCTGTATTAGGTAGACGCTGCTCTGGGGTTGTGATCTCACATGGGATGTTTATATTTCTCCTTTAGTAACCAATGCAGGGACTCCCTTCCTAGAGCGGGACCCCAGCCCAGAAGTGAAAGCGGGCCTTGTCTGGAGCCACTCGAACCCCTCTGCAGGAGGGCAGTGTCCATGCCATCAGCCGCCTGGATGCACTTTGCGGCCTGAAACCTCCCAGCCTCCGGGTCCCCTCTCACACCACTGCCCTTAGCAGGCAGACCTGGTGATGAAGTGCCTTCATTTAGTTTCTCCCAAGGGCTAAATCACTGTCGCGTCCTTGTGCCCATTCATTCAATCATGTAATCCAGTTCCTACTGGTACCTGGCCTGTTCCAGACTCCTCCTTCCTCCCTCTGCCTCCTGCCTTCCTCCCTGTCTTAGTCATTTCACACTGCCATAACCAAATAGCACAGACCAGGTGACTTCAACAACATTTATTTCTTGCAGAGACCAGGAAGTCCAAGAACAAGGTGCCAGCAGACTCTGCTTCTGGTGAGGACAAGCTTCCCGATTTTCAGCAGGCCACCTCCTTGCTGAGTCCTCACTTGGGAGAGAGGCAGATGGAGAGCGAGGGAGGGATGGAGCGAGGGACAGAGGGAGAGAAAGAGAGAGAGAGTGAGAGAGAACTTAAACTGTGGCTTCTTTTCCTTTTCCTGTAAGGACACTAATCCCATCATGGGGGCCCCACCCTCAAGACCTCATCTAACCTAATCACCTCCCAAAGTCCTCACTGCCAAATACCATGACACTGGGGGTTAGGGCTTCAACATGAATTTTGGGGATAAAAACATTCAGTCTATAACTCTCTTAGATAAAACATTTTTATCGAGTGCCTGCTAGGCACCAGATGCTGGGGTCTCCAACAAGAACCTGATGGAGCTGTCATGAGCGCCTTCCCGGTCCAGCAGGTGGGACACAGTGCCCTGGAATTTACAAACTGCGCTGATAAGTGCTGTGATGTAATCATGGAACACAGGGAAAGGAGCACAGACGTGGAGAGTCCTGAGAGTTAATGAAGCTAATGGAAGCGACATCTAGGTTGATGCCCGGCCGACGTGATTGGGAGACAAAAAGTCGGGAAGAGTGTCTAAAAAGAACAGCATGTGCAAAGAGCTGGAGGCAGGACCTTTGGGGAACTGACAGCACCACATTCATGTACCGGTGGGCTGTAGAGGGTAGAGGAAGGGGAGGGAGAGATGAACCTAAAAGGAAAGAAGGAGCATGATCATGAAGATTCCTTCCTGATTTAAAAACTTTCGGTGATTTCCCTTTACCTAACAGGACACAAAATTCAGCTTCAGAGAGCAGCATTCAGTGTTTTTCACAGTGTCAGGCCTCTTTCAAATAACAGCAGTTTCTCTGATGCTAGTTGAATAACAACAACAAAGCAATTAGTTCATGTCACTGAAAAGTCCCAGCTTCAGGCATGGTTGGATCCAGATGCTCAGATGGTATTGTCTGGATCTGGATCTCATTTGTTCCCGCCTCAGGACATTTGCATTTGTTGTCCCCTTTGCTAGGATAGCCTAACTTTCAGATCTCCCCATGGCTGACTCATTCAGATCTCAGCTGAAATGTAACCTCGGCAGAGAGATTTCCTTGGCCATTAACTAAAGCAGGACCTTCCCACCCCAGCGGTCTTCGGCCTCATCAGCCTACCCTTTGTTCTTCGGGCAACCATAATTATCTGAAGACGTCCTGCTGATTTATTACCTTTTTACTGATCTCTCGTTTGGCCTGACCACCCACACAGAATATAAGCAGTCCAAGATCAGGGGTGGCGTTTGCCTGGCTCACAGCCCAGTGAGTCTCCAAAGCTGACAACAGTGTATGGTCGAACACCAGTGATGTTTTTACAGAGTGAATGGAAGAACGAATGACCGAATCCGTGCGTGCATCTCTCTCTCTCCATCTCACAGCTTTCCCTTCTTCTCTGGGACTGAGATCACCAGCACTGCCAGCTGTAGTCCTACCAGCTGAGAAACACCAGTGGAAAACTAGCCTGGTCCTCTGTAGTTGGGGCAGGAGGCCCCAGAATGACTCCGATTGGCCCAGCCCAGTCACACACCATCATCCCTGCCCCAATCACTGTGGCTGGTGGGAGGGATATGGGTCTCTCATTGGCCAGGACTGGCCCACCTCCTGCCCAAACCTCGAGGAGGCAGGTTGAGTTTGGGGAGGAAAGAGCGGTTGCCACCACACTGAGTAAGGCTAGCAAGGTGTTTGGGCCATGGCTTCCACCTTCCACCTAACAAGCGTCTTCTAACTGTCGCCTGAACATGCTGCCTTCTTTCCTGCTAGAGGCCAAATCCCAGCCCCTGCCTTTGCCCTTCCTGTTCCCCATGTCCGGAATGTTCTTCCCTGCGATCTCCTCCTTTGCAGCCCAGTTCTGCTCTCACCTCCTTCAGGAAGCCTTCCTAGATGCCCGCAATCCCTGGGGCCACCCGGGCATCCCTTGGATTCTTTGTCAGTGGGCACTCGGCGGCTTGTCAATGGGATCGGCAACCACCTATGGGTAGGAGTGCTATGGAGTCCTCTCGCGGCGCAGACTGACCTCGGTGATGGGGATGCGGCGAGAGCCGCTGCTAGGCCCGGCAGTGTGCAAAGCCCCCTACCCCCTGTGCTGATACCCCAGGAAAGTGCAGGCCCGGGGAAGGTCTGGGGAAGCGATGAGGGAGCGGAGACGGGTGACCATGCTGTGCTGGGTGCGCAGCAGCCGGGTCCAGGCTCTGGGCCCGGCACCCGCTGGCATTAGCTTTTTAACCTAGGGCACCTTTCTGGCCTTGGCTCAGAATGGCCACAGAACGCAGAATGCAACGAACACGAGCTGATCCCACCCACCCCTGAACCCTCCAGGATGGATCAGGCGGTCCTTACCCTGGGGTTGGGGGCACCCAGCTCGCCCCTGCGCCCCGGGGGCCATCCTCCTCTACCAGAAAATCTCCCGTTCTCTGCCCTGCGGAGAATTCGGGGGATGGTGGAGCTCTTCCCCAGCCCAGGCTCCCTGCCAGGAGCCGCAGGCACCCGAGGTGGCGGGAGTCCCTCTTGCAAACGCAGCGTACGGCAGTGCCCTGCGGGCCGGCAACACCACGACCCCGGCGCCCCTGCGCTTTCGGGGGACGCAATTAACCAGAGCGCCGCACGGTGGCGCTCGTTCCCCCTTTTCTCGCGACGAAACCCAGCCTGGAGACCCGTCCCTCCCGTCCGTCCGTCCGTCCGTCCGTCCACCCACCTAAGTACTGCTTAAATTACAAGAGTGATATACGGTCGGAGAATGAAGAAAACGGTAAGAGTGTTCATTTCCCCGTGATGTGTATTTTTTCAGTTCCTCTAGCTGCCCCTCCCCGCCCCCCAGGCCCCTCCCCTCTCCACGAGCGTGTCTGCGCCTGCAGTGTTTTCCAGTTGGAACAAATCCCTGCAGGCCCTTTGCTGTTGAGCCCCACACAGTCGGGCAGGGCCTCCCTGGATCTGTGAGGTCCCCCGCCCTGCGTCCATGAATCCGTGGTGGCAACGGGACACCGCTGTGGGAGGACCGCGCGGCTGGAGCC